CCCAGAGAAGCTGTGGCTGCCCCATCCCTGGCAGTGTCCAAGGCCAGGTTGGACACAGGGGCTTGGAGCAACCTGCTCTAATGGAAGGTGACCGTGCCCATGGCAGAGGGTTAGAACTGGATGAGCTTTAAGGTCTCTTCCAACCCAAACCAGGCTGGGACATGATGTGATGAAGAGGCCCTGCCTGGCAGAGCGTGGGGCTGCAGCTCCCACCATTGCAGTGCCATCAGTCCTCATTCCTCTGGCCCAGGAGCCCTCATGTGGGTGACAACCAAAGTGAAGTTGCTGTCATTGAGGCATCCCAAACCATGACCCCTGAGTGCCTTGATCTGGTTTGGCCAGGAGAGGTGGGCTCCTTCCTCCTGTGTTATTCCAGCACTAATCCCAGCAGTGAGGAAGGTTTATGGTGTTCGTCAGCCTCTGCAATGCCATCAATAAAGGCAGACAACACAATTCACCCAAACCTCCCTGGAAGCTCTGGAGAGGAAAACAGGGGCAGCCCTTAAAGGTGCGGAGCTGGTGTCTGTGGCGCAAAGAGAAGCAGCAGGTAACACCCGAGGGGGTGGCTGGGGCTTAACCCTGGGAGAGCAGAGGGAAAACATTCCAGCTCGGGAAGGCATTCACTTTTCCAGCCACAAAATGTGCTCGTTCTCCTCTGAACAGCACAGTTCCACTTTGGAGGGGAAGAAGAGCTGCCGCAGGTTTGCTTGGGGGCTTCCCAGCCCTTGGTGGGCAGGTGGAGGAAGGCCAAATTCCCCCGGGAATGCCATCCCCTGGGAAGCAGGATGAGCCATGGGGCGGCAGCAGCCCCACGCCAGCGGCAAGAGCATGCCCCAGGCCCACTGCTGCTCCTCAGGCTTTGAAACAAGAGGGATGAGATGAAACCAAGAGCAGGGATGTCCCCCCAGAGCCGAGCTCTCACGGCACCGCTGCTGTCCCCACTGGAGCCAACCTGGCAGCAGAGAGACGAACGGATGCCAGAGGACTCCATGGCTTGTCAGGCATTGCCCCACCTCCATCCCAGAGCATCAGGGGAAGGAAAACCCATCCCAAATCCTGTTCCTACCAAATCCCCTTCCATACCTGGTGCCCTGTCACTGTCCCCACCACCAGCAGGCCCCAGGGAACCCCACAGAGCCATGGACCGAGTGGATCCCCTCTTCCACAGACCCTCAGAGGATCCTTTCCTCCCCCTGCCCCATAAGTGGCCCTCACTATTGATCACATGCAGCTTTCCACCCTGCCGGGAAGGTGGGATTATTCATTCCCTCAGCAGTGTTTCCGTGGTGCTCCACATGCACGCAGGGGAATTTACTCATCCCCCTTTATTCCAGGGGGAGAGATGGAAAAGTGGGACCTGCTCCCAGGTGGGATCCCCATTTTCTGATGTGAGGCTCCTGCAGGCCATGGCAAAGTTCTCCCTCTACACCTTGAGTTTGGGGTTTCATGGTTGAGAGCGGTGCTGGAGCACTTGCCGTAGACAGATCCAGCCTCCAGAATAGAAGCAGAGGCTCAGGGTGGTTTCTCCGAGCTGTTCCCTCCGATGGTCTCTGTTGGTCCAGCCCATCATTTGGTTGGGTGCCCACAAGAGCTCGTAGTGATGGAGACATGGGCTGGAGCCTCGCCAAGAAGGTCGAGGTAAGGAAAGCCAAGAGCCTGTGGTAGAGCCCTGATCTCAGCCCGGGCAGGGGGATGTCCTGTAAATCCCACCCATGGAGAAAGGCTCTGGCACGGACTGGCAGCACGGACAGCGGGCTGCATGCTCCCGAGGGGCTCCAGGAGGGAGCAGAAGGAGAGAACAAGGACAAATCTCGACCTGATTATGTTCCTCACTTCCATATGCCCGTGCTTGAAGCTGAACCTACATGTTTCCCAGCTGACAGCTCAGGCTGGGACCTCTGGTGCCCTAGCAATGCCCATGGCCATGAACCAGAGGAAGGATCAGGACCCTGCAGTGTGCCCAGGCTCTTGGTCAGCCTTTGGCTCTGCTTTCCCAGCTGGCAAGTCCCAAAAGGCCTCCTGGGCTGCAGGAAGACCCTTAACCCATAGCCCAAAGGGGTAAAAGCCCAGATGAGTCTCTTAGGGTGCACAGGAAGGCACGAACAGCCCCTGCAGCAGCAGCCTGTGGAGAGGGAGGCTTTCGGGGGGGACCCCCCTGCTGCTGTATGCGGTGCTGGCAGCATCCCCTTGCTCACATTCCCAATGCTGTGCCTGAGGTGGTAGCTGTGAGCATGAGGGAAGGGGCTGTCCCACGCTGGGGGGCACACAGGAGGAATGGGACACTCAACAGGCACATCAGTGGCCAGAAAGGATCCTCCAGTGGCACAAGGAGGGTGACAGATGTCATTGGCATGGACACGGAGTCATGTCGCAGCTCCATGCCCTGCCAGGAAGCTCACAGCCCTTTGGTGCCAGTGCTGGGCTTTGTCATAACACAAGGTTTCCTCTCGGATACTAAATACCTTGTCAGAGCTGGAGAGATGCTGTCAAGGGATGTAAGTCCTGGAAAAAACACCTCTCACCACCTGCTTTCCTTTGGGAACAACAGCAAAGTCAGTGGGAGATGTCTGGGGAGGTGACGATCCCTGCAGCGTGTGGGGGGCAGGACGGAGGGAGAGCACCACAGGTTGTTATTACCTCGGCTTTGCAGCTCACGAGATGACAAGCCCAAGGCTGTGATCACTGTTCAAGGCAGGACTTGCTGACAAAAGCCCAAGTGTGGATAACCAATGCTGGAGAGGAGGAGCAAAAGAGAGGGAACAGGGGGAAAGAATCCTCAACCACGAAAATAATCCCCAAGCGCGTTGTGCACAACACCCAGCCGGGACTTCTAAAAACAGCTTGTGCAGAGTTATTTTAACCTCACTTTTGACAAGCGAGCGGGTGTGCCAGAGAAGGGAGAGCACAGGGACTTACACCCAGGACCAGGGCTTCGGCACGGGCCCGGGATGTGATCCTGAGCACGAGGATGTGCATGGACAGAGCTGCCCAGAGCATGCAGGGATCTCGGTGATCACTGATGTGTCCGCAAGAGTGCTGAGGACTCAACAGCCTCTCTGCACAGAACTGGGACCTTCCCAGATGGACAAGAACAAGCAGGAGAGATCTCACCTCCTCGGCACACGGATCAAGCTGTGCCTGCAGGGATTGCCTCAACTCACATCGCAGACCACAGGAACACGAGCACACATGGGCTTTCCTCTGGACACAGCCACTGAGGAGCCCCAAGCAGTATCCAAGGTGGCCAGGATGTCCTCGGATGACTCCATGCTGGGCACTCCGTGAGCTCGGTTTGAGCTGTTAATCCCCCCTGTCCTGGGTCCCAGGGAGGGAAGGCAGGTACCACCTTAGAGCATCTTTCAGGACCAAGACAGTCCTGACCACTGCACACAGAGCTGCACAACGTGTGGACACCCAAACTCAGGAACAGGAAGGGCCTGTAAGTCCTGTGAGCCCCCAGCTGACCCAAATGGGTCCTGTCCAGGCCCCCGGGTGCTGAACGGAGCAGTTCATTAACACATGACTGTGTGTCTCCTAATGGATCGGGAGGAATCACAAACCACTTTTGGCTACTCGGCACATGGGAAAAGGAGATGCTCTTGGACGGGAATTACTCACTCTGCTCCAGTTACCTACAATTCTTCAAGCGAAACTCCATCCCACCATCAATATGTTGGCAGCCAGCTGGAGCCTTACAACCCTGTGCTTGTGCTGACGGGAGGCGGGACCCAGCGCAGGGGTTGGAGGTGACGGGACTGCTCCCCGCGCTGCCCCAAGTCTCATCCTATCTACCTGCCACTCTCATCCTGCTCCCCTCCTGCTCCCCTCCTGCTCCCCTCCTGCTCCTCTGGCACTGGGTGTTTAACAAACATCGCCTCCCTTACTGATGCTGGGAACACGCACCAGG